CCCAAATGATCTAGAACTACGACAGGAGGTCGTTCGACTCCACCATGATCTACCCACGACCGGACACCGCGGACAGTTTGCCACCATAATCGCTATAGGACGGGAATTTTGGTGGCCAGGCATGACGCGATTCATCCGCAACTATGTCAAGGGATGTACTACGTGTCAAGCGACTAAGAACCAGACCCATCGAGACCCAATCCCCATCATGCCAATACCAGCCACCTCGACACTTCCATTCCAGACAGTCACTATGGACTTTATCACGGAACTACCCAAATCCGACGGATACGACGCAATCGCAGTCTTCTGTGACCATGACTCAAGCAAAGCTGCAGTCATGGTCCCATGCAACAGCACGATTACAGCCGAACAAACTGCGGACATCTATTTTCAACACGTCTTCCGAAGATTCGGGCTTCCCCAGACAGCGATATCCGACCGCGGAACGCAGTACAACTCAGCATTCCTCAAGGAACTATATCGGAAGTTACACATCGATCAACGATTCTCCACGGCGTATCACCCACAGACAGATGGAGGAACAGAACGAGTCAATCAAGAACTGGAACAATTCCTACGAGCATTCTGCAACTACAGACAGAACAATTGGGCCAAGCATCTCATGTTCGCCGAATTCGCTCACAACTCGGCACAACATTCATCCACCAAGGAATCGCCGTTCTATCTTCTCATGGGATACCAGCCACGCTGGTTCCCAGAAATGAACGAACAAACCACAGTCCCATCCATCAAACATCGCCTTACAGAACTACGGAAGGCCCGCGCAGATGCGGAAAGTTCACATCAGATCGCAGCCGATATCATGAAACAACGAATCAAAGGACAACCACCCCTATTCAAGAAAGGGGACAAGGTTTGGCTGGAAGGGAAGAATATCACGACGACTCATCCTTCTGCCAAACTTAGACCAAAGCGATTCGGACCTTTCCGCATAGACGACGTGCTCGGACCAATCACCTTCAAGCTCAAACTCCCACCGACGTGGAAGATACATCCGGTGTTCCATGCAGGACTCCTCACGCCATATATCCAGACCAAGGAACATGGTCCATCTGCCACGTATCCGCCACCTGATATCATTAACAACGAAGAACAGTTCGAAGTTGATGAAATCCTTGACGCGGAATGGAGATCACCCGGAGGCCGCAGCAAACCAGAACTGCACTATCTGGTACACTACACAGGATATCCTGACTCGGATAACGAGTGGCGGCCACATCACGAATTCCACGAGGACGACCAAGTCGTCCTCGATTTCTATGTGCAGAATCCGCAGGCTCCCTCAAGACACAGCCAACCAAGTACACGTAGACGCACAAGGCCACGTCAGCGTTGAGTATAAGAAGGGGGGTAAATTTGCCCTAAATCGAAAACTCAACGCCTCCTCAGCCTCTTCACATCCTCCAAACTGATATTCAAACCAACTCACCACATGGCAAATGCCCAAGACACGCAACATCCGCCCGAAGCGACTACGGTCAACGTCACCCTCCCTAGAAACAGCCTCGTTCCCTACGTCGAATCTCAGCCCAGCTCACCTACGCTTGCCGAAGAAGACGAAGTTAGTTCAATACCGAGACCTGCGTCCGAAGGATCCTCGGGCACCGATCACATCTTCTTCAGCGCTCACTTTGGGATCATCGGCACTAACGGCAACGCATCCATCCCCAATCCCAGGATACGTCATAATGGCGAATCCCAGCATGTACTATCCAACATCGATGCCAGAGAAAATGCCATCCTTCGACTCTTACTCAACCTCGTTACCAATCGACCCTACCTCTTTCGCATCATGGGGCCCGAGCTCGAATGGTTACAGCAAAGGGCTGGAGAACTCGGATACCAATTGGACTCGGAACGAAGCTTATCCACTTCACAATCCCCTCCTGAATCAAACGCCAACCCAATCCCAATACCTCCCCCTTCCTCATATGCCAATCCCCACGTTACCATATCCTCCAATCACAACGGATCCTCGGACTCAGAACCTCCCCACGGAATCCATCGTGTACCAACTCCCATGCCTGGAACTCGCTCCAATAACCCA